GGTAGCGCAGATCGGAAGACAAGATGTCGCTGAGAGCAGTGGCGAGTTTGCAATCGATGCCCTCAAAGTCACCGCTGCCTTGTAAATATTCAAAGGTACACTCGGGCTGTTCAACCACGCATAGGAAGGCGCATGCTTTGGAGGGGCGCCCTGAAGCGGCCCCACAGTTCTTCCGTACCTTCTGCTGCCACTCGAGCAGCTGTGTGATTTTGGGCAAGACAAGGGCTCTGACGGTGTCTGATTCTTTGATCGGGGCAGTAGTGTTGACCGAAACCACAGACAATGGTTGTGAGGGTATCGGTACACCGTCGGTGGTTGGTTCTGCGCGCATTGGGGACACGTGGCGTGTCTGCGCAGAAGCTGCCGCGGAGGCTGCTCCTGGTGACGTGCGTCTTTGTTGCCCTGCAGAAGCGCGCGGTGCTTCAGCGGACGCTGCCGTCGGCCTGGGGAGGCCTGGCGAAGGCTGAGGGTGAAGTATAGTGTCGTTGGTGTGGTCAATCAATAGATTCGTCCAGTCCGTCATGTCCTCGTGTATTTGGTCCACCTTTTGGCGTGCAGAATCGTCGGTGTCCCGAGAGCGTTGGGGATGCCGATCAAGGTGTTGCTCATAGGCTCGGAGACGGGCGTTTTTTGCTTCCATTTCACTTTCCAGACGTGTGAGACACTGCTCAAGACGTACTTGTTCAGCATCTCTGTCCCGAAGGGCCTGGGAGAGCTCAGACTGCGTGCGGCCCGCCGCCGTCTTTACTTCCTGCAACCTGTCAGGGAAGTGGGCGAAATCGTAAACCGTTGGGGGAGATCCCAGCTGGCCAGTCTGGGCTCGCCCGACACGCAACTCTGCCAGGGCGTCCTGTCCACCAGGTAAACGCTGCCCGATCACAGAGATCCAGTCAGTGAGGTGATGCACGACAGCGTCGGTCGCATCAAGCCGTTGAGCGATGACTCTCTCATTATTTTGTAACATGCCGATCAGGGTCGACGAGTTGGCACTCGCTTCAGCACGAAGCGTCGCCGTAGTGTGGTCCATGTTTGATCGAAGATCATTGATTTGGGACTGGACGTTGCCGAGGTCGTGTGCCTCGGATGGAGGCGGTCGGTTTCGGAGCTGGTCGTGGACCTCATCATGTAGGATCCTGACCGCTGAAACGCCTGTGTCGCAGACGATCACAAGCTGTTGCTCCATCTGCACAAGGCGGTTGCGCAGGTGCTCGACCGTCGCAGACCGTTCACCTGAGTGTGGCATCTCACGGTCAACCTGAAACTGCAGCCCTCCTAAGATACGACGATCTTCGGCGATCCTGGAATCTATGATCGCTAAGGCGCCGTCGAAATCTTGGCGTAGGGCAGCAGTGTTGGCAGCGTTCGTCTGAACGCTTTGCACTAGTCCAGAGTACTGCCTGGACACGAAGGTCTCAACCTGGTCTATCAGCTCAGCAAGTTCACCTGCAGCGGGCGTGGCCGCCGGCAGGTAGGAGCGCGTGCTCCCTGGTGCACCCTCTCGCGAGGAGTGCTGGGCCTCTGGGGGGCCGCGCGCAGGCTCGACCTAGTCTCGTCGTAAGGGCCTGCGGCCTCACGACGGTTGCGTGTGGACGAACTGCGGATAGGGCAGTGTGTGTGTGGTGTCTGACGGGATGATGATACCTTGGGGTGCTGCGTCTGCGGCTGTGCCGCCACTGGTCTGCCGAGCTCCTCGAAGGCGGCTACATGCGCCGACGTTGGAACAGTCGCAGGACTGGCTGGGCCAGCGCTGTTGGTCCAACGGCGGTTAGCGCGGAAGCGCCCTGGAGTATCGGGACCAGTGGGGCTTGCGCCCGACGCAGTAGGGATTGTCCCCGACGTAGGAAAAGGATATGAAGGGTCGAAAGTGGGCGTGTGAAATCCTCCAATGCCTGCTCCTACTCCTTCTCCTGTCCCCCCGTGGGCGGCGTGGCGGCGAAGTTCAGCAGCTAGTCGCGCCTCGGGTCCGTCGGAGCTGGGGGGGGTATCTGGGACACCCAAACGGTCACCTCCAAGGCTCTCCAACTCATCACCGAGCCGTCGCGCCGTCGGAGAGCTCGGACGCGAAGCCTCGAAGGATCCCTTACGGCACATGCGCCGTCTGGGCTCCATCGGGGCTGTGAGCGAGATCGCGACGCAGGGTTCGGTGAATGGTGAGCTTTGACGGCTGATAACCTGTGCGTGTATGGCATTGGAGTGCAAAGGTACAGAACCCCTGATCCGCAGGTAGAGGAAAAGAAGGAAAGATGGGGATCTTTTCCTCTTGTGCGATCAATCGTCTGATCGATGCCGATACCTGAGCCCAAACGGCCAGGAGACAGGAGAGTAAAGAGTATATATGAGGGTACTACACGGGTTCATTTCACAGTAGCCTGTCTCGAGGATGAGCTTGAAGCTCTCTTGGCGCGCCCGCATCGGAGCAAAAATGGGCGTGCTGGAGCCGTTCTGGGGCGCTGGAGGCCTCGTTTAGGGCCCGTGTGGCGTGCCCGAACTCATTTGAGGCGCCGCCCGGGCCCTCTGGGGTGATTTTGGGCGCCTCTTGGGCCTTGGCGCCCTCTTGGGGGTGTTTTGGGGCCCCCGCGGGCGCCTCTTGAGCCACCTGTGGCCGTCGGGCAGCGGAGCAGGCGACCACGCGAACATCCTTGACAAAAACATTAGTGAATCAATGATTTTCGCCCCTCGGACCTCCCTCGGGGATCAACTGGAAACCCTCTTGAGCCGTGGCCACGTGAGCCGTCTCGAAGCAATTGTCGGCGTGTTGGAAGCGCTTTGGTGCTTTCTTGCGGATCCTTTTTGGTGCCCTCTGGGCACCCTTGAAGGCCATTTTGGCGGGCGGAGGCCCGCCAGGCCAGCCATGCCTCACAATGGCACCCATTTTGGACACATACATATCTATATATATATATACACATGTGTATGTATATGTATATATATATAAATATTATTCGTATCATTATTATTGTTATTATCATCAACATCATCATTATTATCATTATTATTCTTGTTCTTAGCATGATGATGATGACGATGATGATGATGATGATGATGATGATTTTTACTCGGCATCAGGACCAATCAAACTGGAACCAGCTTGCAAACGTGAAAAAGTTGATCCGCCGCAGAGTGCCAAGGAACTCGCGAGGCCCCGTTCGTGGGCGGCGGTCGCGAGGGTGCTGGCACAGGGGGGCTGCGCTGCGCTGCCTCGTGACGGATGGCATCTATGAGAAGAAAGCTTGTGCCGCCTCATCTTCGGCGTCATACTCAAACTCAAAATCAAAGGGGGCCTGCGTGCTGCTTTGCTGGTCGGGCGCACTCGAAGAAACGGGCACGAGTGCTGGCGGGGAGATCGGCGCGCGTGCTGACGAGGCGCCCGTGGCAGGCGAGAGCACAGAGACTGACAGTGGCGCATCCTGCGCTGGCAGGCTGGGCGGCACGGGCACTGGCTGGACTGAACTCGCCCTAGGCGCTGAAAAGAACGTGCCTTGATGTGGCGCTGGCGTCTCTAAAGAAACTGATGGCGTGAGGGGAGCGGCGTACATGTGGTGAACTGTCACACCGCTCATGGACGCAGGCAGGGATTCACCTCTAACAAAACGAATTGCTACTGCTCGAGAGTCTCCAGCCAGTGAGCTACTTCTTCCTCGAGCCATCCTGCTGGCGCCACTCCGCGGTGGTGCTGAGCCGATCCCTCCGACGCCAGCGCCTTCTGAATGATGAGGCGCCCTTCCCATGTTGGGGCCCCGATGATGAGCTTCATCTTGTCCGTGTCGAAACAACCCTCGAGCCGTATGAAGCTGATGGCGGTCTGCAGGTCGTCCTTGGAGATTTCCACCTCCACGTCTGGGTCCACCGGCTGTACTTTCTCGAGGTACGTGGCGATCTCTGCCTTGAGCGAGCCCCCGATGTCGCACCTCTGGAGGCTCTCGAGAGCTGCGAGGCCCAGCGCTGGAGCGGGCGAGCCGATCTCCTTGAGCCTGGTCTTGTCGGCGGGGTCTCCGCTCCTGCGAAGCTGGTCGAGGAGCTGTTTGTAGCCCTCGAGCTCGTTCGTGATCCCGTCGATGACGGGGTGCTTGTTGCTCATCGTGTACGTGTCGATGCCGATGCTGCTGTTGAGTCTGGTCTTGTGGGTGGTCTGGAGCAGCAGCTTCAGCGTGGATCGCAAGAGACTCAGGAGGTTCTTGTCCTTGCTGCTCCAGACCTTGTCGTTGTGTGCGCCGCGCCTGGCCCTGCGGCCGCCCCTGCGCTTCCTGCGCAGGCCCTGCCCGTCTGCCGCTGCGGCCTCGCCCTCGTCCTCGTCCGCAGCCACTGGGGGGCGCGGGGACTTCGAGCTCTGGCCTGCTGGCGGCTGCCGAGCTGGGGGCGATCGCAGGCGCGCCTTGGCGTGTGGTGGCTCCCCTGGCTTGGAGGCGCTGCCAGATCCCTTGGAGCCCGCTGAGGAGTCCAGGGGGATACGCCAGGGCGCCCGCGCCGCCTTGGCTGGCGTCGGCGGGGGGACCTTCCCTGCTGGCGGCGCCGTCGCCGCGCCTGCTGCTCGTTCCTCGCTGGTGGCTGCAGCTGCCGTCATGCTGTACAGGAAGCGGCGGGAGTGTAGGCGTCGAAGCTCTGACCTCACTGTTCACGAGCTCGCAGGCTGAGGGCACTGGCGTGTCAGCACGTCGAGGAGCTCTGCGGACCTGTTGGCGCCCGTCTCTTAGGTGTCCTGGCCTCAGGATGAGGTCGGCTGCTCGACGCAGCGCTGCCCGTACACCAGCGGTGTCCTCAATCACTCGCGGTGATGATGATGATGATGATGATGATGATGATGATGATGATGATGATGATGATGATGATGATGATGATGATGATGATGATGATGATGATGATTCTTATTATTATTGTTATTATTGTTATTATTGTTATTATTGTTATTATTATCATTATTATTATTCATAGTATTATTATTATTATTATTATTATTATTATATACATACATACATACATCACATAATGATGTTCGCAACGTTGCGCTCAGCGCTGCGAAAACGTGCATTCCAAGCTCACCGAACGACACGTCTGGACAGAAGCATAGCGCCGATGATGACAGACGTTGAACGACTTGTGTGGCTTTCTCTGCCAGCTCGGTCTGGGTGCGGAGGTTCGCTCAAATGTCCGCTGAGATCTTGCCACTGACTGCTCGGAAATTTGCAAGCAGACCAATGACCATGGCAACTGATGCCAGGAGCAAGCCTCCGTAAACTACCAGCGCGATCAAGTACGGCTGGTTTCGCAAGTGCTGCAAACGCGAAACCTGGCACCGCTTGGAGAAGCTGAAGACGACAGGCGGCGCACTGCTCGCTGGCAACTGTTGCAGAACGACCTGGACATTCGAACTGCCCGACTGCAAACACGACAAATCAAGCTCGATGTTGCCGCCTATGTGCGGATCCACCTCGCCACCAAAAGCTAGACTGCCAGTCGGCACCACATGCACCACTTCAGGGTCCGCCACGGAAACCTCGGCCGCGCTGAGCCCCACGGAGGCGTTGGGGAAGAACGTGCAGATCACCTCGGGGCAAGCGTCATTCATAATTGGCACAGCACAAACAATCTCAGACTACGTCGGAACTTTCGACTCCTTCCGCACATCATATCGGAAACTGGAAAACTGCTAGCCCATTGATTCGGGGGTGCACCATATTCTCCACTCCAATAGACCAGAAGATCTGGTTGTTAGGATGCTTAATGGTTTGCGCTCTCGTGACCGCTCTTCGGGTCCCCACCCCATACACACAGCTAAGGGCGAGTACTGAGCCAGAATGGGGCTCAATGCATGTCAACCCTCTCTATGGGTCAAAACTGCGTCCGCGATTGCCGCGAGATGATGCTCGGAAGATAGCTCCAAGATGCATCCTAGGGGGCCCAAGGCCCCAAGGTGGCCCGCGGACTGTGAAAGACCCTTCCAAGCCAGCCCAATGGGCATCGAAGGCTTACCAACATTCCAGGAGAAACCTTTTTCGGAGACCCCAGATTGTGATTTGGGTATTTTCACATCCCCAGGCCAAGGAGGCCGACTTCTCGCGCCTCCTCCCAAGTGCATGCGATGGCAAGGGCACGTCTGTCGCGATATACCCATACCTCAGATGTCTCAAGCATTTGCCAGACAAGATAATCTGAGACAGACACACTACGCATACGATGTCAAATACCTCACAAACCAAACGTTCCATTATGAGAGAATTGTTGCTTGAGCAAAGCAAGAGGAGAATGGAGAGACAAGCGCCAAGATCCGACAAAAGGGCCCGAGGAAGGCCAAGAGAGCACGGGACCAAAACAGAGATAGTCTGGATTCCAGAAATTTTGAAACCCGCTAGGAGCAATAAGGTCACATCCAGTGGATCAGACTGGCACCGAGGAGTGAAAGTCTTGCGCCACTAAATCGCGTGGGGACGAGAAACTGTGGCTCAAAATCGCATCTGGGACGGGAGGGCTTGCAACATAGGGGTCGTCAGCAATGTGAGGATTCCATCTTGCGGCTTAGGATCGTGCCATGGGTTGGACTTCTACTAACGTAGAATCCACCATGAGCTATAGGTCTGAAACTGGTGCCTCAGGATAGTTCCTGGCGGTGGAGTTTGGGCAGCACGAAGGCCTCCAGGACCAATTGGGATGCATCGTGCGACTTGGAATCGCACGTGGGAGTGAAAGTAAGGCAACCTTGTGGCCGCCAGCCGCGATAGGGGTTACAACCTGTGAGCTGAAACGTACCCAGTATTGAAGCTCTGGCTCCCGAAACGCCATAAGCAGGGACAAAGCATCTCCCTTAAAGCCTCCTGGGCCCCTGGAACTCTGGAAGGCATCCCAAGTCTCCTAAATGGCTCGAAATGCCCCAATTGGCTTTCACCAGGACGAATCCGAGACCGTCGAGTTAGCGCCAAGACGCCCCTCAGCGGTCCAATACCTTTGAAAGTGCAGAAGGTGATGTGAACAGCTTTGAAAAGAATTCAAGAAAGCCCCACGAAGCACTACACGACACTAAGAGGGGTCCCCAAACATTTTCTGATTGGGAGATTTGCATGAAAATTGTCTCCTGGGAGTTCGCCATGACTCATGCTCTGGGGGCTCAACAAGGCGGGTCACAGCCCAACGGGATGTCCTAGCCAGATCAAACAAAACCATGGAAACAATAAACTAGGAAAACGGCTACGCGGCCGCGGGTCTGAAACAGCAGACGGGCCCAACACATTCCCTCGGCCCGGTCAAGCATCTGCCCTTTCCGTCCATAAGTGGCGCGGAAACCACCGAGATACTTTCACGAGGCACCACACGATGCACCACAAGTTCTGAGGTGTCATGGGGACGCGCCGAAATGGCCTAAGGCAGCTCAGGTGGTCACAAATGGCCCCGAACTGGGCCTGGCAGGGTTCACGTTGACTTCCAAGAGGGCCTCACTGGATGGCCAGACAAAAATCTGATGAGGGCCCCCCCAGAGGTCCTCAGAAACTCCAGAAAGGCCCCACAATACAATCCATAAAGATTGCGAAGGTCGACGCGAGAACGCCGCGAAACCAGCGCATCTCAACTTCTACGCAACTGCCTGGCGAAAACATGCGCGTTACCATCTCCGCTCACTCATGGTATGAGCAATCCCCAAGCTCACCAAACATTCTTGCATTATTGCGTATCTTGCCGTACTCTTGGGAATAATCTGGCGTGCGCGTGTCGGCACCATGCCGCACAACAACCTTCCGTTGAGAGATGTGCTTGTTATTTTCCCCCACCGTTACTCCTCACATGCGAGGCCACCCTTCGGTGGATCAGGGACTTTGGGTCGGTGCAAATTCGGTTTGCGGTTCGTTTCGCGCCATATGGCGTGTATGCCCATGCGATGCGTACAACATTTGTATACAGACATGTACATATGTATGTTAAAAAGGCACGCAAGCACGTTTAAATTCACACCTGCGTAGTGGCATAACACTCGTATCGGTGACTGGTAGGCCTGGGTCTACGTATATATTTCAACATATCATATGCAAGTCGATCTGTGTGTATAACCCCGAACAGCCGAGAATAACCCCCCACGGATAATAAAGTTCGGCGGTTACGGTGTGATAATAAAAGTTGCCCACCAGAGCCAGCATAAAGATGTTAACAGAGGAGCCAAAGCCGAGGATATCTTGAGACATCCTTGGATTTTTGTCCTCTCTGAGCCATCCTCAACAATGGCTTGTCTCGCTTGGGACATTCTCGACAAATCTCTCGTTTCGCTTGAAATATAAAGAGATGAATAGAACTATAGAAAGAGAAGAGGAGGTAGAGGAGGAAGAGGAGGAGGAGGAGGAAGAGGAGAAACAGCAACAGGAGGAGAGGAGAAGGAGATAGCGAAAATCCAAAGTTCAAAGCATATTAGATTTAATTTGTAAGCGCTTAATGAAAATTGAAAGTTTCATCTGCGCGTGTAGGGTAGGTAGCTCATCTGCCTCGGTTTCCTTGGATAATAAAGCACAGCGATAAACACGCTCAGGGGCCACAGGGAGGAGGAGAAAGAAAGAGAGAGAGAGAGAAAGAGAGAGAGAACAAACATAAAGAAAGAAAGGCAGAACTATATACAAAGAGACAGAAGAAAGTACACAAACATATTGAACGAGAGGTAAGAGAGAAGAAAGAGAGAGGAGGGGGAGGAGGAGGAGGAGGAGAAGAGGAGAAGGAGAAGAGAACGACAGGATTCCTAAAGCATTGCTTGTTTCGCTTGACGGCGAACTTTTCCCCGTGATAATGAAGTTCGACCTCCGCGCCCCCGCGCCCCCGACCAAACTCTTATTGGCCGTGGATAGTCAACTCTTATGTGTATAGGGGGGGGTACATTATTATCGTGGGTTGTCGGTTACGCGCTTACATGAATAGCTACAGGCTGTATGTTAAGCATTCTCGACGTTGACAAATCCACTGGCGAACTCTCAACCATTGGACACCCGCATCAAACGCGAGACAACGCCAACCGTGGAACAACCGCGGGACAAACGCACGATACTACCACGGGGCAGCCGCAAGATAATGGATGACCGCGCGACAAGCGCGCGATAATTGCGGGACAACCACAAGACAAACATGCGAGACAACCTGGGAGTACAAGGTGGTTTTGGCAAACAAATGGCAGTAGAACCAAACGGCCCCCGTTGTGGAATTGGACCTCGGCTCGCCCCTGGCGGTGGCCCAACTCCGTGAAGGCGATTGCCGCTCGCCGCGTGCAATGCGACGCAACGACGGCGACATGAAGAGATGAGGAGGAGACGCGCGCGCGCGTGCCCAGCTTTCCCCCCCCCGGTGCTTCGCGAGCCAACGAAATGCTCGCGGGGCGGCGATCGGAACGATCGCGACCCAGGACCCCCCCTCGCACCCTGGGGGGGCGGGAGAGGGAAGGCAAGCAAAAAAGCGGGGAAGGCCCGGGTAGGGGTCCGAGGGCACCCGAAACCCAGGGCTGCCACTCAAAATGCAACGCGCGCCAATGTCGAGGGGTAAAACGCACGCCCCGACAAGCGACCCTTAACTGGGGGCCCCGCGAAGCGAATTTGCCCTGGGCCCCGCCTGTGAAAACAAAAAAAACACCGGGATCACGAAAGACAAAGACGGCGCAACGTTTTTGGAAAGTTTGCGCCGGGGGGCGAGGTGGCGGGGGGAAACGCCCCTCTCCCTCCCGGAAAGGGGCGGTCGCCCCCGACCCCGGAGTCAGATGGTGTAAAAGAAGAGCTCGAGAACGTTGGCAGCGTCGAAGCTTTCGGCGGCGCGAGAGCTCAAGCGTTCCAATTCATGGCTCTGCGGCCGCGCGAAAGGCGAAGATGGGAAAGACCATGGAAACGACGTCGGTGGACAGCGCGGCATCAGCTTGCGTCGACTCTAGCGACGGCTCGCGCTGTCGCGATCCCACCTGTTGCGGCCCCAGTTGCGCGCCCCATGCCAGCCGCGGATGTCGCCGCCATCTCCCTCGCAAGGATGGGGCTGATTCTCCCGGGGCCCAGTCGATTCACCCAGCAAGTAAAAGCGCCGCGTGGGTCGGGGCACGGCTGCAAGATGCCCAGAGCTCGCGTTCGCTGCCTGCCCTCTTGGCGACGGTCTGACGCGACTCGAGCGACCCGCAGATTGCGGGCGCCACCCGGGCCCGCAAGCGTGCGAATCGCGCGCCCAGTGCTGTGCCATCGTCGGCGCGGCCTCGCGGACTGGGGCATTCGCCCGACGCGGCGGGCTGGGAGCTCGACTCCACTGTCGGTTCGCGGGCGTCTCCCCTGGGGGATGCAGCGGCGCCCGCCTACCCCAGGGAACGTGGCCGGCGGCTTTCGGGGCGGGCCTGCTCGAGGTAGCGGCCGCGTTCGCCGGCGCCAGCTTGGCGTCGGCGTTCGCCGACGCGACGCCGCCCCCGCTCGCCCTGGCGGGCGGTGGCACACCCCTCGCGTTTGGGCTGTCGCGCCGAGCGGGCGCGCGGGGCGATGGCGCCCGCTGTCTACCGGGTTGTGGCTGTGGAGGCCGGCTGAACTGACGCCCCAGATGCGCCGCTCTGGCTTCGGGCGAGCG